TTCCAACGCATGAAACGCCCTCCAAGTTTCATCAGACTGTTCTTTATTTATGACGTAGCTGTAAAAGCGTCGTGGTGGACCGGAAGTATGATTCAATTACGAAAATGTCACGCAGCTTGGTCCCGAAAATACGGTGTTTACGTAGCCGTTCAATTCGGTGGCCGAAACTTGGTTTATAGATATTTTATGAGTCGTGCCCGGCCGATTTCATTGCCGCGTACATCACCCAACCGGAATTACGTCGATCGCTACGAGAATATCCATGCTGAAATCGTTCGAAATTCGACGTTGGCAAATTTTTTTTTTGTTTCCGTTCTTTTTTCCTGCGACAGAAGTTGTAACGCGACGAGAAAAAAAAAAAAAAAAAAAAAATTGTTACGTGTCCGGAGGTTGACGAATGCCGTTCGATGCTCGATGATGTTTTTCCAGTTTATTGATATCGCGATGGTTTGTTTCGAAGTGGATATCGGTGATAAAGTGAAATGATAAACAATATAATGTATTTGTTCATTCATTCCACAAATACCAAGAGGAGATTGTTGTGGGCATACTATACACATATATTGGAAATGTATTTTTCATTTAGTCAATTTTAATTAAAATCTTATTTGCGACACGGTAGAGGGATAATCTTGTTCTCACTTTCCTACTTAATCTGAGCGGGAAAAAGTGGAGAAAAGTAACGAGCCCAGCACTTTTTTTCGAGTTTCCAATTGAAAGAAAAATCGACCGACGAGACTTGAATCGAACCGTTCCTTCGTCGAACAGATGTGGAAATGGACAGGAGAGAGGACACGTTTTAATTATCGGTAACTACCGACAGTCTGATAAGAGAGAGGGAGAAAAACAGCTGAACTTTTCTGCGTAGATTGGGAAAACGTACAACTTTTAAGACAAGTTGGACACTCCCATTTCCACTAATTATTTTGCTGATCATATTGCAGCTAACTAGATGAACAAACAAAACCGTACATCAACAATTCTTAAAGTAACAATTAAAAATAAAAATTGAATGAAAAGCTATGAAATATAGATCTTAAAAATTTGTTTCAGATTTAACTCGTAGATTGTTCGAGTGTCTGTCAAAAAGAGGGATTATATTTCCTAAGTGTATAATGGGATGTTAAAATTTGAATGAAGAGAAAATGAGTTCCATGGCTTTGCCAAAAAGAAGGTAAATAAATTAGATGGATCCTAATAGCTCGTAACGATCGAGAGGTTTTAAAGAATTACACGGACGATCCTCCCAATTAATTCAACATCTCTCAATATCGAAATTGAAAGCAGTGACATGAAAATCCGCGAATGAAAAGGAAATAACGCGACGTGGCCATCCAGCATTGCCGTCCAATTAAAAGACTGTGCGATGGAAGAGAAATCGAAAATTCGTTGTAGCTTTCTGTGAAAATGGATACGTGCTCGAAAAAATGACAATATTATTTTTCTGTGAAACTCTATCGCAAACAACAATTTTTAATCCTCAAAGCGATACTTTATACATATTTTTTGATAAACAGGCTTGGCTTGGCTTATGTTTCCTTTAAAATTATTTACTGTACTTTTGAGATAAGAATACGATCATTAAAAACAGGTAAAAAATTGAGAGTCTTTGTTAAAGAATTTTCTTTTGACGCGAAGATAAACATTTTTCTCTAGTCGGTTGAAAATATACAAAGCACGGAAAGAAAGCGTTTTTGCCGAAAAGGGAGATGAATAATTATTAAAAGAGAATTGTTTTCAAAGCGAATCCAGTTTGTCGCGTTTCGTTTTGTTGAGATAAAACTATTTCTAGAGCGGACAATTATGCACCGGGAAAGCGGTTAAAAGAGACTAGCTAAATTTTTCTTTTCCTCTTGCTTTTTGAGGAAATTTCGTTCAGAGTAATTTGCATAACTTTGTTAGACAACGAAATATTGCGGTGCAAATAGGTGTCGCCTCATTTTCGAGGGAAAATTTTTTAAATAACTTGGTACATTGTGGTTTCTTCTGATTTTTAAATATTATTATTCTTTTGTAAAATATGACTTGATATTAATTTTATGTAAAAAGTAATTATTTTAAGTTAACCAATTACGTCATTGTTCCCTGATTAATTAATGGATCCTAAAGTTAATTATTAGTTAGCGAACAAACAGAATGCGGTTAGGAAACTTTTCCATATCCTCGTTCGAAAATATCATTCCCGGGAGCAAGCGGAGGAAGTTTTTTAAGTTTCGCGATAAGTTGAAAGTAGAGTTCGGCAACGCGGTTAAATCAACTTTATAATTCATGACATAATTTTTTTGCAGCTTTTTAAGTTGCGCTGCTTGAACAAGGCTTTAGTGTTCCTCGCTTGAAGTTCAATTACGAACCTCGTAACTTTCTATCGCTTATCATACCCGTGAATGTAATTACATAACGTCTTAAGCTCAATGCCATAAAGTAAAATAACATGGGGTTTTTTAAATTAGAAGATTAACGAAGAAAGGGTAACGCGCAGTTAATTGAATAATATTTGTGACGACGCGACGCACAATGGTGCCATTAAGCATAATATGTATATTTCTTTTGTTATAAAAATTGTAAGCCATTGAATTTACAAAATTTTAACAAAGAACAACCCTCTTAAGTTTTCAATAACAGTACCAAAACTTCGTCTCGGACCTTTATGTACGATAAGGTGGTAATAAAATATCCAAAGTGGAGCAAAGGGTGCGGCAGGTGGGGACGCACGAATTCAATTCCGCAGTGGGCCAAAATACATTCGAGAGAGTGGCAAAACGTCCAGTGCATCCGACTGGCGGCGGCGGAAGTGCATGTCGCTGCACGTGTGCACTCTTGTGACAACGCGTGCGTTATTCGTCAGAATCGTGCACCTATAGTCAGGGAATGCGAGATACAGAAACACGACACCATTTTTTTTAATCATAATTCTGAATGGTTTGTATATAATCAATAATCTGTTTTCTACCAGCATTGATTTTAATAATTAAAAAACAGATTATTAAAACAATTATATTTAGGAACTTTTCCAGTGTATACTATTGAACGATTAATTTTCAAATTATAATTTAGCTATAGTAAACAGAGTTGAACATTACTATTATAAAATTGTATTCAACTGAAAATTAGAATTTTATTGGAAATAATTTTGAAGTTCAATTTATTAATTGGTTGCAAAAGCAGTGAATAACGATAACGAACATTGGTAGAGAGCAATCAATACACTGCAATTAGATAAACTGAAATTTAACTTCCATCAATGTTGAGCTCGAATTCAGATTAATTCGTGTGTGGAGTTAAATAACTATCTATGTAGAATCAATGACTGAAACGCGTCAAACATTTTCAGTTAAAAATATAAATTCAGTAATCACGAAATATAAAACATTTCATTTATACATATTCCGAATGTCACGATGATGCGAAGATGCGAAAATGCAAAAAATGATAAAATCCCGAAATAATTCACGTTTTATTCCAATCTGAAGATGTGACGGTAAATTTGGTCACAAGGTTCTCGTTTCGAACCTCAGCTGTTCTGATTATGTCATCAATTTTACTGTACTTTGTACGACGTAACTGTAGCTCAGTTCATCAGTTTGGCCTCGATTATCGAGGAATTAATGTGGAACGATAATCGTGCAGCGACACGAGAGGCAAGTCGATAGTCGATGCAGTACATATTCGGTGCCGTGGCACTATAAAGTGCGTCGATGGTCACCATAATCCAGGAACGGTCACGCTCGTAAACAAGGGTCGACAAGAGGACTGCGAAATGTGCTTCGAGGGAACATATATCCGGCCAACCCTCCGACCCCCCATTCTAGTTCACGCTCTACACCCCTTTCATTCCGCTTCGCGCCCACCTTCCCAGGGATAGATGGGCTAACAAGGATTTGCAATGGTAACGACGACGTTTCGTGGTTTCTAAAAGCGAGACTACGCGTCACCTGGCAACGCAGAGTTTCTCAAACTTTTTCCTTTGCTTAGCATCCTTTACCAACACATTCTGGGTCTGGATTTCTATGAAGTACAGCTAACGAGTATCTACTACTATTTCACTAAACAAAAGTATTTTTCAAACGTTACATTTCCCTTTGCTCAGAAAATTTAAATAATATTCAAACTAAATATTCAAAACAGTGAAACATTTCGAATAAAATTCTACGATTTCGAAGTAGCAGAATATCTATCTATTTTGAAATTCAAACTTGATAAAAGTTCCCAGAAACTCTGTACGTTCGAAATAATCATGGTCTCCCATTAAACTGAAGCAACACATATAAATTAAACATCAAGTCTCGTAGAAATTCAACTGGTATGACCAAATATATATCAGACACTCGGAAACGAGAATTTCGCGAGGAGAGTAGAAATACAGCGAGGTGTTTTAGACAAAAGTTTGAGAAACACTGCGAGGACGTATAGAGAATGGACCAAATACCGTGAAACGTGCTCGACAATCATTGTACGAAGAGTCATCAGCCGTTCCTAGAGGCACTAAAGGGAAAATGGCATTTCAGCGGGTTTCTGCTCTTCACTATGCGAACAGCATCGCGTAATTCAGACGCGGTTCTGCTTAAATTTTCGCGTTCGATAAGCCCACGCCATTACAGTCTCGATCCTTAAGCCTCCATAAAAGTACCCGCAAATTGTCTTGGAAATCATTACCTTATCACCACTTAAGAAGCTTTCAATGTTCTACAGTTAAATAATAGTCGGCAATATTCTTTTCTCGAGTTATTTTCAGCTATTAATCTTTCGTCTACCAGACGGATTCACAATTATAAGAAAAATTTCGAAACTTTTTAACTTGAATTTTAAATTCTCCTAATAATTATACTGAATTTGAATAAAGAATTCAATCGATTATATTGTATAAAGAAGAACGTAACACAAACAGCTTTAAATAAATTATACAAAAAATTCTTCTTCAACCTCTTTTTAACGTTTTAATTCCTACTTTTACGTGTAATTCCTACTTTTTTATAATGGAATAATATGTAGAGATTACTCACCAGATGAGAGTCCCTTGTGGTGAAGGTGATCGGGTCCGAAGCTCTAGGCTCTCGACAGTGGAAATCCATGTTGCCCCAGGCGGCAGCTCCGGCGGCTCCGCTCCTGGCTGCCTCGATCAGCTCCATTTTCACCCCCTCTGCGATGAATTCGACCTACAAAAAGGGTGGAAAAACATTTTCATTACATCCTCCCGGCAATACGAACCCGCCGCGCCGGATACCGTGTAACGGATTTAATATCGCGATGTAAATCGAGAGAACGAATTGACACTGGTTATTACCAGATCATGATGGATTTTCTTGTCTTGCAGGAATTGGAAAATTAAATTTCGAAGAAATATTGCATTTAGAATGAAATAATTAAACCGGAAGAGTTTTACAATAATTATCAGGTTGTAGCTATTGGCAGCCTGAAATTGAAAAAAGGGTCCCCTACTAAAATCGCGCATGAAATTTTATCAGGAGTAATTGAGTAGAATCACGAAAGTAATAATAACAGGGTTGTAACAACAAATGTACTCAAGTGTAAGTACTTACATATTACGATTTCACGTATTTTTACTCTGGACGGGTGAACAGGTCTAATTGAAAGATAAATCCAGTTACACGATTATTAACGTACGCATTAACATAGTAATTACGCATTAGCGAAGATTTATATAGTTTATCGATCTGGTGAATCGCGATTCATCCCCCCAAAGGGAGGTGAACATTATTTACCGTGAACGTTAAAACCACGGCCGGCTAAAATTTTCACGTTTTTCAAGCAGATTTACGATCATCCCTTTTTACCTCTCGCATGAACAATGTAATCAGCTTAATTAATCGATCGATCGCTTATTAACTAGAGAGCAGAAAAAAATGACAGAGGTTGTTTGATCGAGCGTGACATAATCATTTTCTCAATAGAAAAACTCTGAAATATTTTATAAAATAATTATAACGGACACGTGTCTTGTAAATTATGTACCAAATATTTTTTACATTATTAAAATTTTAATATAAATTCGAGTAACATCACTGTAATTTGCGAACAAAAGTGCGGGAAAATATTCAAATTTCAAATAGTAATTAAGAAGCCAAAGGGGTATAGATTACCTCTACGGTGCTTCTATCGTCGAATAAACAATATTATCCACGGAGAAAAGCAACAGATTTTGATAGGTTGAAAATCTAGCCACCCTCGTTTCTACTAAATGAAACTTTCGGTATTGTTTGAAAATAAAAATGAAAAAAAAAAAAAAAAATTGCTCGACTAGGAGATTTTTTCTCGCGTATCGAACCGGCTGTTTATTTCAGTTTCCGAGAGAAAAATAGAGGGAAATAGGAGGGATGAGTACGCTGCCATATAAATTTTCTTGACAAATGCACGTGCTTTTAATATTTCACCTTTTTTTCATGCACGATATTTTCCATTATCATGCGCCAAGCCCTTGTTTGAATTGATGTTTACCCAGTAGACGCTTTGGATTATTTTTCCTCAAAATTGTTCTTCTTTTGTTTTTTGGAATTTTTCGTAAATAAAACAATTCCCTGAACACCATTAGTATGTATTACCACATATACGTTTTATTGTGCCTCTTACTATCTTCAAAACTTCATAAACGATACCGCCGAAGCAATCTCCCCTTTCAGCATCCAATTCCAGCAAAATCGGCAATTAATAATTTCTCGGACCACGATTCCACCAAGTTTCCACGTTTCCACGTTTCCTAGTCGGACTCAGGATAATTTTGTCGCCATAATTGTTTCCGTAGAAACTTGCGGCAAGAAATCGGCGTCGCAGAGGAAACTCGTGGCGACTTCTATTTGCATGCTACGCGAATCTACACCAACAACACCCACGATGCTACTTAAGGCACAATATCCCGAAAACGATGGCCGTAGTTAACCTTTCACTTTGGACTTTTGCTTAGTAGAAGTTGCATTCCTCAGACTACTTTATTGGCTCATACGTTTCTTTTATTGCTGCTTTAGGCTACGCTTCATCAACGACACAATCCGCTTTTTCCCGAAACTTTAGCGAATAAATTGCCCTCATGAATATTAATTTTATAGTTTGATGACAAATGTTAAAGAGAACAGATAATGAAAATTAAACATCACATTAAAGTTTAGTTCGTCCGTCTTTAATAATCCATATTATCGTCAACTATATTAAACAGACTGTAATGATCGTTATATTAATAATTTTCTCATTATATCTTGATAAAATGATGTCTAGACATTCAAAGTAAAATAAAGTGAACGAAACTTGATCGGTTAAAAGAAAATGAAAAGGAACAAAGCATATTACGACATACTATGTGTACAAGCATATCAGTGGCTGTAATTTTCGTATTAAGGTAATTGCTACGATGACGGAGTTCAAACTTGTCGACCACGGTGGAAAGTTAGAAAAGGAACGGGATTAATGAATTAAAAGCACCACCTGAGGCGGTTTGTCCGCTCGTTATCCAACGAACAACTCTACCACCCCTACCTCACCGAATTGTACTCGAGATAGTGTTCCTTTCAATTCCACGGATACCTTTGATTATCCCAGTTCAAGATGGCCTTGTTATTCATAAATAAAATGTATACCGTGTTCACAAGTAGCCGACTTGTCATTTGCAATATTTCGAACAAACGCTCTACTGTATGATATCATTTATTATATAATTAAAACCATGAACACCCAACCTAACCAGCGCGGTTGGCATTTGCATCGAGCATTTACGTTAGCTTGGACAACGGTAGCGTGCGGTTTTATCTTTTAATGAAACGAGGCGTCGCCAAACAAAACGACGACCAGCAGACGTTACGAAGCGTTCGTGGTAACGATAACGAATTAAAAATGCTAACTGAAACGCGATGCTCTTATTAATTTTCGGAATATTCTGTTTGAGTCTGACCGACATAGACGTTCGCAGAATGTAACCATGTTCCCACTGATAAAGTAAGGTATTTTAATCATCTTTTTATATCGCGTAATTTAATTTAGTTGTGCCTTGGGGAGTTTTCTCAGGGAGATTGGTACCGTGCGAAGTATGGCTTAATTTTAATTTAAAATTAAGGTAACCTTTCTTGTTTTCTGATTTATGGTCTCTCATATACCATCCTTAATTTGTCTCTGAAGTGTATGTAATATTCCAGCTTACAGCAGTAAAATTTTTCAAGAATTTATTTTTAAAATCGTTTTAAAAAAGTAATTTACTTAGTGTCACCAGAAATTTAATTGTTGAATGTAAAGAGCACTAGAACACTACTAAATTATTATACGTTATTATGTTTTAATAATTCTACCCCGTTTGTGTCAACTAAAATAAAATAAAATAAAATAAAATAAAATAAAATAAAATAAAAATCGTAAAGTGGATCACATCGATCCTTTAAACGGATCACTCACCTTCCTCAGGCATCCAACGAAGTTGGTGATCCCTTTGGCGCCCTGTAGGGATCTGGCTTCGGCACCTCCACCCACCAGCAGCCGATCGCTCGCCAAATGCGTGAACGAGCCCGCAGTGTGTCCGTGTTCCGCGTAAATCCCATCGACAATGGCGGACAACTGCAACAAGCAACAAAGTTCATAAGGACTTTTCGAAAAGTTACAGCAGTCGCGCCGGCTGCAATCCAATTTCGGATTAAAGCACGCTCAACTCGCTTTGACAGCGAGTTAACCCTTCGACAATGAAATATTTCTTAGCCTAACGCTATGTACATAAATTCCTTTATTTAAACTGTAACTATAACTAATTCTGGATTTAATTTCAGCCTTGACATTTAACAAGAAATTGAACGCATATCGTTTCATGAATCAGAACAAGATATCTCCAGAAAGGAGCATCATTTAAGTAGAAGCAAAATGGTAGGAAAGTGTTCGTTCAATATCGTGGCACAATGTCCGGCAAGGAAAGGGCAAACATCGTAATGCACCTCTCAACTTGCCAGACTTCTCGAAGACTCTTAACGGGATGGAAGGGCCCTGCGAGCCCGTTAACGAACTACGTTCACCCTTAATTTTATCATGGTTACCCACACTCCATCTAAGATCTGTTTGCTTGCGAAGAAACTGGTAGGATAAGACCTGGAGAATTATGAAGAGATTGCTCGAACCGGCATGCTCGAAGGGAGAGCATCCTTCGTTGGAGAGCAGTCTAATTACAGCAACGAACGGGAGAAGAAACGAGCGACGAAAGGTTAGCAAAGTCCTTTAGCCTTCGCGAAAAGGGCTTCCGTTCGTTGCTGGAAACGGACAGGTCGAAAAAGCGACGATAACGACCATCGACGCCATCCTGTGAACTCGTAATGGACCACTCGACGCCATTCTCCAGCAGAACAACCTCTCTTGTCTAAATACTAAACTTTATGGGACTTTTGTTGGAAGAGATCTTGTCCATAGGGGATGATGATGGTCAGGAGATGGATAAGAAGGTATTCTACCTACCTTATCGGTAGATAAACAAGATTAACTGCATGAAAATGTAATTGAAAACGTTCGAATTAAAGACAAGAGCTTCCTAGGTTAGATAAGTGACCTATTCGTGTTTCGAGTTCCATCACTCAAGATTAATGAAATAATTTCACTATCACACTGACAAACACACAGGAAATTCCATGAAATCCTCTGTCGCGGAATCGAATGGGCTCTTTGTCGGTCGGCAAATTGTTCCGAATTGTTAGGGACGATTTTTGTGTCAGTTTGCCGTGGAATGTATCACCGAAATGAAAATGACCGGTCGAGTGTGTCCCCTCGTTAAATCGGTAAAATTACACGGGACGATTGTACGGTAGTCGACGGTCGAATTTAAATACCCGGCCCCGCAATTTGTATAAAATCCCGATTCAACGCACGGGAACTCGACTTTTATTTTAACGCGGGCAAAATTTTTCGAAAGCAACTTCCTTTCTTTATGCGATTTTTTTTAACTGTGTTAGAAACGTCATTTCATTTCTGTCGGATCTGTTTTTTTTTTTTTCTTTCTTTTTTTTAGTCCGAGCGGAAATTGTGCTCGAAAATCGTGGTACAGACGAGTACGAGAATTTAGAATAAATTGTCTTCGTAGATGGAACTCTGTTTTTTTTTTCTTTTTTTTTAAAGAAATGAAACGAAATTTTGTTGAGTGCGCCTCTGTAAGGTAGACTGGCCCGAAAAAGGGTACATTTTAAAAATTCTCAAAGATGAAAGCAAATTTCATAATATCTCTTTTATACACGGAAGCTGTCAAAGAAATCTGCATTTTAGTAAAGTCAATTCAGAGGCGTATAATTTTAATAGAGAAATATTAATTTTATAATTATTAAAATAAATAAATTCCTCTGTTGCCTCAAATTCAGCACCAAATACGAAATACGAAATACAAAATAAAATGCATTAGGCGATACAACTCTCTTTTGCTACAATCATTGAATATAGGAATCGACAAGCGTTCAATGTAAATTTCAATTGACAAGTCGGCCGTATGTATTTTCAATAAACTTCCATTCCCTTTATCGTTGATGCTGAAACAGATAAGAGTCAACCGTGATACGTTATTGCATGTACGTTTCAAGCTAACGTCAGTTTTCACGTGTCACATTAGCTTTTGGCAAATCTTGCTCGGCAGGTAAATCGTGTTAAGCAATTTCCCAGGCAACCACGACGTTTCCCTGGCAACTTTTTTACTCTCTTTTTCGATGCAAAACGTGCCCACCTCGACGTTTACTCGACAATTCTGTTTCGACATTTTCATCCAGTTTATTTGTTCCTTGTATTTCCTCGCTTTCTTTTCACCTCTATTATATCTGTTAATTCGTGGAAGAATAAAATAGAAAAATATTCATTTTTGGAATACTGGAAATTTGGAACTTTAACAAAAAACCCTTGACCCGTTTTTTCTAGTCTAACCTAAGGGTCGTTTAATCGAAGGAAATATCGAGGATAGGTCGAGTTAATCGCGTTAAGCAATTTTCCGGGTCGCGGAGGCGTCACCACAAGATCCAAAGTCTGATTCCGTTAGATGGACTCCTGAATACGAATCAGCAGACTCGAAGAGAAACTGCCCTGGTGATAGAAAGCTGGTTCCATGGGAAGAGAGAAGGATTGGAGGGAAATGTATGGGTTTGCGGACCAAGTAAATTACAGCACGAGGGTTGCAGTCCGGCGCAGTTTACTTGTTTCATTAATTCTTTCTCTTTTTATTTCCCCTATACTTTTGCTGGCTTACCTCGCTTCCCCTTTCTCTTTATTCTTCTTTCACTTTCTTATTAGTTACGCTGTTTCTTTATTAACCTGTCGCCTTTTTCTGGACTTGGCTCTTTCTCCTCGCTTAACAGCCCTCACTTCTTTTATTCGCTTATCCGCCTTCAGTGACTATTTGTTTTCATTCTGTTCTTCTTGCCGGCCTTAATTTTCCGTCTAATTCCTTTTGCACGGCTGTTTCTTTTTTTGGCTCGGTTTTGTATGCTGGTATTTCTTCTTTGGTATAGGAAGATAATTTTCTCCACTCTAAGATCTTCCATTTAGAATGTAAATGATTCCAACAACAACTTCCAATTGTAATTGAATTGCGTTCGATTAATTTACCAGCAGATTTGCGTTACGAATCCCATTATTTCACCGCAAAGTCCCGTAGTTGGTGCAAAGCGAACGCAGGGGTATTTTCATCTCATTTAATTCTTCCAAATCATTAATAACCAGGATAAAAGGACGGTGGGATTAACGAGGTAACTGGATTTCACGGTTTCAACGAGGTACACCGTACGCCGGAAAAAACGCTCGATTGGTGCTCATTACGCAATAAAATTGCGGCAACGTGGTTGCAATGTGATCTATTCCCATGACTCGTCTTTCCGCGAACCGCTTGAAAACTCACCCTTAAAACCCTCTCGTTTTCTTCTCGAGAGCCTTCGTAGATCATGTCGCGCGAAAATAAATGATTTCGCCGTTTTTAACGAGATCGTAAATTATGACGATGCTCCTCCTCGTGAAAAGCGGATCGCGAAATCTTCAGGAAAATGGAGAGGGAAAATCGCGTGAGAGCGGGGAAAAAGAAAAAAGGCACGAACCATCGACGAATTTATTCGAGTGGAATCCGATTGAAAATATCGGGTAGGAAAATCCGCCTGATGTATTGATGATTCTCATCATTTTTTCTTTTTTTTTTTTACTTTTTAAGTATGCAGGGTGATTTTCTATGGCAGCGAAGAAGTATTCTAGTAAAATCGGTATAAAAGAAGAAATGCTGTTCGTTTTTGCAATTTCTTGACAATATTATTTGAAATATTATTTTAAATTATAAAAATTTAATATTTTTCTATATTTGTATGAAATAATTTCTTTAACGTCAAATAAACGTCGCGCAGCGTCCTGCGTTATCAGCAAACTTGTTAATTTAATTTTCGTGAATTACAAATGTATGTTGCTCTGAATTAACCACCATAATTTCGCGCAGCATGTGTATAATGTAACTGGATGAAATTCATTCATCATCTCGACGCAATATCATATTTCACACGTGGAAAATTTCTATGGCAAATAATCAGATATAATAACAGGAAAATATTACCAGGATTTATTAATTCTTTTAATGTTATACCATTTATGCCATTATGATATTGTACCTTAATTTTCCATTTAACAGAATATTTAATTTTATAAAGATATACCTATCTACAACAAATGAAAATAATCTTCCAAATTAAATACAATCGTCCATGTATCTATCGTTACTTTCTCGAATCTTCAAAGAAGTCTTTTCATCGTTCGACAAGTAGTTATCGTCGAAAGACGTTCCTAAGACGTGATTTAAGGGTGTCAAGTCCTAGAAAAGGTAAGAGAGTCGTAGAAGAAGAAACGAGCGAAGAAAGAAGCTGAGCTTCTACCTTTCTAGCCACAGAAAAACCAATTTCAGACCCGATCTTAAAAGTATTTCGAAAGCACGACATTTCCACAGCGAGCAGACCTTCTTTGGACACCGTCCAACTTCCGGAGAAAAATTAATAATGAAATACTAGTGGAATGGTCAGGGTCGAGAGCTCTGAGGAAACCTCTCGACCGTTTTAATAAATGATCATCATTTTTAGCCAGATTTCCCTCACGAAATTTCGATCGTGATTTTGTATTTTGTCCAAGAACGAAAATCTAAATTCTGAGAAAATTTCATTGAAAAAAATTTCAGATTTTATCAAAAAAACACCAAAGTATGATAATTCTTTTATTAGATAAATTTGAAAGCGATTTAAGTCCATTTTTTAAAATAATCATAAATTGTTTATAACAATTGGACTTTTATGATTTACTCAATTTAAATGTTATTGCAATTGAACTAAAAATAAGCAGTAACAAAACATTTCAAACTCGGCAATCTTTCATCCATTGGTTTGCTTGAACAACTTTCAATCCGAAAGAAAACAATCTTTGAAGCAAGCGAGCGACGTATATTCAAACCGATTTGTAGAGAAATATGAGAGCATAGAAACAGAAGCGTTCAAGTTATCTCGAGAATACGATGGTCGATCTTTCTATCGAGCTTTTGCCATTGTACGCCTCAAAGGATCAAGCACGAGAAAGTTTGTCGTGAATCCGTGAAACGACGACTATTTTTAACAGGACTCCAGTCGTCCATCTCCTTATGTCCGCAGGCGGTGACCTCTTCTCCATCCATTTCTATACCCTCGAGATACGAGCTTCACACATTCCTATCAACTTTTTTCTTCGTTAACTTTTTATTCCCTTCGAGGACGCTTCCATTTCGTTAACGATCATTTCACTTTGTCATGTATGAACATTGTTCTTACACATCGCTCGTTACATCATCAATAATTATGAATTATGACTGATCAAGAGACATTTCATGAAAGTATGTTTCATTCAACTAATACTATCTAATAGTGAACCGAGTTAGTGCAGCCAAAGATATAGAATTCTACTTTGAAAAAATATGTTTGAATTTCGAAAAAAAGTTTTGTAGACAGATAGGATCAAGATGCATTTGACACGAAAAGAAACAATTTAATGCGTTCATCTTACTTTCCTACACTATATACCGAGTCATTGTTTTTACCGATATTTCAGAAAAATATGTCAAACCGATATTCCATACGATAGAAACTCGGATGCTTTTAACTCTCGATTAATTTTTAAATTTATGTCAAGACACTGGAGGCTGCGATCGATCAGCTCTCCGGGTGAAAGCATTTATTCAGCACGCCCGTTGTATTTTGCTTTTACGATCACTGCCTTCAGAATTAGGACGGTTAATAAAATGAAAAAGTATCCGAGTTTCATTAGTTTATGGGAAATCTAGGCGTTTTTGGTTACACCGAACGATGATTAAATTTAAATCTCATTGTCAGATGTAATCTTGAAGAATAATGAAATTAACTTTGAGTTATTGGAACGATGAAACGGAATGTGGGTCAATCGAGATACAAACTTACAAAACAATGTACAAGGATATTAACCTAAAGTTAAATGTGTAATTTTTCAAAGAAAGGGTATCATATGTTGCAAGAAGAATTTTTAAAGAAATCGTGTAAAATTTAGAAATCTGTCTGTCCGGGGGCTAATTATTATCAAACACACAAATAGGTGATTTTCAATTGCTATCTAATATTATTTAGATAAAAGAAAATGAAAATGATGTAAAATACGAGATTAAATTAAGTCATAATCGATTAAATCGATGAAAAAGTAGCTACTCACCCTGCAGAAGCTGGTGATGGAAGAGATCTGAAACAGAAAGCAGAAAGGTACGATCAGTCGTCGGAATGCTGTAAGATGCAGACGGATAAATAATTGATACACGCGTGTAGAGACACGTGAATTGAAATTCAAGAGTCGTCGTCTTTGGAATACTGAAGCGAGTAGGAGCTTTCGAAGCTGATCGCTGCGAGCTCGACTGAATTCACCAAATGTTTCGTGGCGATTATCATATGACAGTAGTACTTCTTGAATTTACTATCAGACGAACATTTACACAAGTTATATCTACTTCCTTGCAAATCTTAACCTAACTGTATATTTCACATACGCAACCATTGGATTCCTAAAGTTAAGACTTGCATTTTCAGATTCTACGCATCAAAAACTATAGATTAAAAAAAAAATAAAAAAAAATGTCGAAAATTTGGTGTCCCCTAAAGTAAAGTTTAACCCACGTCTATTTGTATACATGTAGTACTATATACATATTTAGTATATCTCATGTTCAACGTACGAGTTTGTTAGGGTAGATAACCTGACTAATGAATCTACTAGTAAGCTGAAGATGAAACGCGCTTTACTACTTCCGTTTCTCCATTTCTTTTTCACGGCACAACCACCATAATCATAAGAAGTTTCACGACAGTAAAACGGGTTACCCTCGAGAGAAACTGAGCGAGTATATTACGTATTCCTCGACGTTTCGAGGAGCTGGCGAACTTCTGTGTACAACGACGTCGTGGAATTAGATCCTGAGAACTTGCCTTTCCCCGACGCTTTTACATTTCTGTCGCGCCACTTGCTAACGACCGTACATTTTTAAATTCTTCACGGATCGCGGTGTGTAACTTTCAGACTCTGTCCCTTCTCAACATTGTACACAGAGAAGATGTAATCTTAACATCATACCTCTCTAATCTTTGCATATTTAAAAAGGCATATTTATTTTTCAAATTCAACAAATATCCCGAAAATTGTCCAAGTTACCGTCAGAGAAAGACAGATCGCAAACGATATGTCCCACGACATTGGAACCACCGTTTCCTCCACCATAAGTAACAATCCGTCTCTGATCCTTCTTCCCTCTTTATATAACCGTATTCCCTTGTCTCTCTCTTCTCAACTTCTTTGTGCCGGAGGTAAAAACGCGACGACCGGAAGAAACGGCGCGGCGCAGAGCTAGACTCCGGGATACACGGTGTGGAAAAGGATATGTCGGGGGCGTATATATCCGTCGGCCAAGCTCGGCCAACTATAAATCAACGAGCACGAGACTGCTTCAACTTATGCATCGATACCAAACCTTCTGGAGCCGCATTCCCTACCTCGTCACACCACGACGACACACTGGAAACTCGAGAATACCTCGAATTCCGTTATCGAACCGTGCCATCTACGCTCGGTTTCCCCAGGAAAATCTATTTCTCAACGAACACGTTGCCACGAAATACCGATGGGTTATGTAATATGAAAGCAAAAAAGGGATGAAAATTTCCATTAATTAGAAATATTTTGAAAATATTAGGAAAATTACCACAAACATAAAGTCGAAAAGAGAAAAAGTTATTCAAGCTAAACGTTAATGAATATTTCATGCTCCGCTTTAAACAGACACAAGGTGGCATTAAAAATGAAACCCTTTTCTCGCTACCATGAATCGCGCATTCTCATTCATTCATTCGCAAATGAATGACACGCCCTTCGACACGCGAGTACACGCGTGTATAAATTATCTCCGTTCTGGTAATGCCACCCTAACGGCGCTGTTCACACCTTTAACGCGGGTTGGCGGTGTCTAGACACCCAATCTCTCTTTTCCTTCTCCGTTCCAGCCCGAAGCGAAACTCGAAAACACCTGAGGTGTACACGCACGATCGATGGACAAGATTTTCCGAATACAAGCGTATTTTCTTCTCGAAAAGAGAAGACCGTATGAGCTTTCCGAGCGTCGCGTCGCGTCGCGTCGCGTCGCGTCGCGTCGCCAAGGGGTGACTGTAGAAAAGATTGAGAGGAAAGTTGCGAAACTTTCGAACGGAAGGGAAGAATGCTCTCCGGTAACGTCGATACTTTGCGGAGGAAAAAAAATTGGGATGGTTTAAGACGCTCGCCTTAAACAAACCCCGATGGAGAGCGACTACTGGAAGGAAAGTGCAGGCCGAAATTGAAGTTACGTTTGTCTTTCACGAGAATGGAAATTGTTCAATGAATTTCTTGCTCTGGATATCGTCGAAGAACATCTTCGGAAGGATTTAATGGTATCCACAGACTTTGGATAATAGACTTTGGGGTGATTAACGCGTTACGGTTGTAATTAGGTAGTCGTATCTTAATTTTGACGATATTGCTTGCCATCCGAACAGTACTCGTCTCTTGCGAGTGAAACGTTTAAACGTTGGGAAACTCGTCTCGTTGGTCGTCGTCTTTTCAGCTCCTTCCGCGTCCTTTCCAGCCTCGCGAGACGCATTTCAGACCGGCATGGAACGATGAACGAGCAGAACGATTGAAGGAGCTGGTTACAAACGGCGAACGATTAAAAGGCGAAACGCGGTATCGTCGTGCAAAAGCCACGTCGGAGAAATTGGAAGGAATCCCGGCAGCTGGATTCTTCGAACCTTTTCGGTTGCGATGAAACTGGATAGAAAATTCTACCGCTTGAACGAGAATATTTTTGCAGCAGCAATTCGAAGAAATTTTTAATACTTTGCTATTAATTCGAAATAGCCATTGAATATTGATATATACCATCTTCAATAATTTTAACTATACCAATGCAGACGTTCATCAATAAAAACCACGTCATCAGCTTTCTGAATCAGACAGGGCTCCTTTCTTCTTTTTAATATATCCTGATCGTCTATGCGACATAATCGGCAGATGTCAAAGTGGTCGCTTCATCAATCACAAAGGATCGACTCGCAGACGATGCAAAAGACGTCGGCCCGTTATTGACATACCCGAACGAGAGGTATGTACGTCTCTTTGATCGAAAACTCGACTACCAATCGACAAGTATGCGACGTATTCCATAATTTCACGGGGAATATTCGTAACGCGGGAAACGAGGTATTCGCCGCGACCGAGGGTGAACCGATTAAATCGGGGACGAAGGAAGATGCCAGCGACGGAAGAATCGCATGGATGTGAAAATTTCCAATGCAGAAATCAATATTGCAATATTCTTACAAATAATATTAAAACATTTTTTAATCATTTTCTTTTAACCCACGACCAGCATTCAGCAATTGGAATATTGTGTTCACGTAGCTGATATTCACGATGCATGCTTTCCCCCGTTTCCCCGTAATGGAAAAGACGGCGAAGACGTCGACGAGCAGGAAGCGGTGAACTAGTTATCAAGGAAGGAACCGGTGAACTTGCCTGCGTATATTCAAAGGCCGACCGTTGGATTGAAACTGTCAAACTTTCGCCCCAAAGTTCGAACTTTCCTACCGTGGCTTCCGGCCGTGCTCTTCTGTCCGACAGACAGTTTATAGTAACGTAAGAATTTGTTTCTCCATTATCTTTTTACAAGCGATATAACAATTATACAGGGTGGGCCACGCCGTTATTAACGCATTCATGAAAAAATGCCAAAGGAGAAAGATAAATGATTCGAAGAGCACGAAAATGAATGATGTTACAAACGCTATTTGATTTGAGAAACGCAACTTGAACAGTAGTACAAGTATCGCGATTAATATTGTTCCAGTTATCGGTCGGAGATCTCACAAGGAGCAAGGGTACACATTTCTCTGCGGTTATCTGTTATCTCGTATCGGTGATAGCACGAAGAATGCAACCTGTGCCACGATATACAATCGCGATTTAAGGATTCCGGATTCTCCAACACCTACGACCGCATAATGCGATCCATTTTATGGATCGTCGCCACTTGCACGATTTATTCGACGCTACTTTCTGTTCCGTGGTTTTCCAACGAATTTATCTGATAAACTTCCTGCCACCGCGAATACATTTTTCTTGTTGCAACTATGACCAAGAAAAAAATGTACACAATGGAAAGTACTTCCCCTGGAGAGTAGCCGAATAGCAATAGGGTTTGAATAAAATATTTATCGTTTAAAGTATATAATTGATCGGGCGATTACGAACGGTGGCGATGGCGATGGCGATGGCGATGGCGAAACAACAACGGCCGCTCGGGGAAATTAAGCCAAGTGCCGTTACCGCGAACATTAGCCGATTTGCATGGCATCGGTGACCTAATTCATGCTCGGGATACCTCCTTGCACATCCGCAGCCCTTAAATCGTTGGCGTGCAACGCGATGCATTCCCCGCGCGGCTATCTCCGATACAAGATAACGGATAGTCGGCCAGAAATAGATAGCCAAAGCCACCTCTTCTAAGATCCCACACGGCAAATGAAACGCGATTATGTCCCCGTTTCCTTCGCAAGATGAACGGCCCTGGGATCCATGCCGGTTTCGATTCGCCAGGGACACTGTGTGATTTAACGTGTGATCATCGATTCCGTTCGATTTATTATGCCTGATCGCACGCGTTACATCGGGGAACATCGTTTTGGGCTTTGGGAACTGGCAGCTACGTTATATAGTAAACGCCAGTTGCCTTTATCTGAATTTTTTCAATTAAGTCGCCGTGGAAAACGGAATTGGTTGATATATTAAACAATTAAAAAATAATTCAATTATTTTTCTCCTTCATTTTCAATTTAGCGATGGTAGTTCTAGTAGCAGAAAATCTGTCTCCTATTTTCTTCTCTAATTCCTGAGCTGCAATTGAAATTCTTCAACGGTGCGAGGAGAGTCGATCGGAATTTAAACGGTAGAAATTACGAGTCTGCCGCGAAACGAGAAGGAAAACAAACCGTTCCGTGTTCGAAATGGTGATCGATGACGCGAACGGGATCGATTCGACGATCGCGAATACGTGGTGGCGTTAAATCGATAAACTGGTTCGAGGATTAGAGGCAGGGTGACTCCTCTCCCGATGGCAACGCGTAAATAATTGCATTACCTATCCTATGGCGCGTAATACACGATGAATGCCAGTGTGTATACCCAGGCCACGCTAACGATATTGCTCTCACGTCCGATCTATTTGCTTCGGGACATCGACGCCGAACAACGAAATCCACCCGGCTCCTGCCCGTTTTCGATTTTAATCAGATTAACCCTTTTGCTGCGGTGGATTTCAACGTGAAACGCTACGCGTGGCCCAACAAATCTGTAGCAATGGATATTCTACGAACGATTCACACCTTTCTCTATCAATTGCAGATGATGTTAGGTTATCGATATCGCGTGATCGATCATTTAGGAAGTATGGTTAATAAAAAAAAAATCAATTTAATTCTTTTACTGTTTGGTAAATACTATTTCTTCCTAGGATCCTATTAATTCTATTTTTAAATGCTTAGTATATTCGCGTACCTCTACACACTGCTTGATTCTTTGTTTGATTAGTCGCAGAATAAACGAAGGAAGCTGTGTACTTACCTCTTGAACCTTCCGGTGTATGATGATTTTGTGCCACTGATTATCATCGAAGCGAACTCTGGCTGGCTTTATATGGAGATCTAATCTTCCTTTGGCTAGAGTCATCCCAACTGCTGCTCCACCATCTCTCAGGGACACGGTGAGATAATCATCCCCCTCACCTGAAATGATACGAGGAAAAAAAAATTGTTAATAAAATTGTAATAAAGAATAAACGAAGAAGAAAGGTTAACATATGCTAATATGATGTATACTCCTTCTACATAATTAAACCGTAATTAAGCAATTAATGCGTCGGTAACCACAATGAAAATTGTAGTATTCCACGCTAATTTTCCCTAATATTATAGTAAAATTTTACCTTTGGCGTCTTCCGGAAGTATAGAACAGAGCACTTAACCTAACAAACAGCGGCGACTCGCGTATAGACACCGTCGAACTGCAGCACCCCCTATTTCCACTTGATATTATCGATAACATTTAATATTTTTTCTTTAAATCTTTCATTATACTTGTACAATATATAAGCCATCCCTCAGTTTATGAAAAAGACAGAAAAATCTTTGTATAAAACTATGCGCTTCACAGTTCCAGCGGCGTGGTGTTTGACTGTGTGCGCATGCGCACAAAGGAAGCTGCGCACGAGGCTGCGCACGAGGCTGCGCGGGAGAGAAAGGTGAGAGCACTGTCGCTACCGCAGTGCCGGTTTTTTAAAACAAAAGCTAAAAATTTTCTGCAGCAGCACCCCCACTAATTTTAGCTACGAGCCGCCACTGTTAACAAATAACAACGTTGTATTTCAAAGCGAGAAGGGACGTAACGTTACGACTAATTTCATTATCCATTCTATCTGGTGAGCCAGCCAAAGCCCGAACAAAATTATAATTCTCGTTAATTCCGTGCAAACACGAGCGTCCCACATTTAATCCCGCATAACTCGAACATAATTACATGAAGCGGAGAGCGGGTAGCTCGCAACCACCTTTACCGGCAAAACAATAAAAATAAAGTGTCGTTTGCCGCGTCTTAATCCCTCGGCTTGTTACGAGCTAACCGATAGACTGGCATAATCCTCGAGCTTTTCAGTTCGCTTCGCCACGATAATTATTAACGACGAGCTCAGTCGTTTTAGCAGCACCAACCGACCGCACTGGAAACGAAAACCGGCGAAACTAATGGTAAGCGGATACGAACCATTTATATGCGTCGTTTTATCTTCTAATCCGGTTTCGACTCATCTGATTGCCAAAGAAATCGCCACGAAACAGTGACAAAAATTATTATTTTTCGAGGACACTAGGACGTATTACAAGGAAACTGGCAAATACCAATCAGTAATGTTTAGATATATTCATCTGCTTTCTGCAATTTAGTTGTTATTTGCTTAAATATTTCCCTTCACTACGAAAAATATAATAATATATTTTACATGTTAAACAATCTAAGTTCTCTTAAATTATGGTACGAATTTAACCATCTCTTTCTCTCAAAACACTGACACTGAACTTCTACCTCCATTCTACTATTAAATACACAGGGAACATTGTATCAAACGTGGACAATATTCTGGCCAGCCTGCCCTTTCAAAATATTGAAACTAAACTTCAACCTCAGTATTGTTGTTAATTCAAACCACATCTGTTAAGGATTTATGTTCGAACATCGTATAAAGAAAAAGAAAAATTTTAATATTTACGTACATTCTTTGGACCCAATTAAATGTTTAATTCAGTTTATATTTATATCATCGTTCTAGGAATCTTTTTGTTTTCCTGATTAGCAACAAGATCTAATAATACTGAAATCGTGTAATCTAAACGTGAAATAACAAAAATAACGGCGATTTCCTTTTTAATTTATCATGCTATTTCATCGCACGGTAACAACCGTATATCCCCGCAATCCTAACGTTCTAAATATCACATCAGCTGGTATTTGCATTTAAACAGTGACCGTACGCTAATTATTCCAGAATTAAGCCGCATAAAAAATGCAGACGGTGCTTTCGACTTAATTGTAGCTACTCATTTGCATATGCCTAACTGCATCACGCGTGCAACGTCCTAAGCTCGCGGAGCGGCTCAAGCCTTTTGTTTTGTGCCAAGAACCTAGCAAGATATCTACTCGAAAACGAGCGAGATAACAAGCTGCCAGTATTTTGGCTACCATTTCGAAGAAAACAGATACCAAAGGACATGTGTATACTTCCTACACTCTACACTTCTAAATTATTATACATACTCGTAATCGTAGTAATCGTATCACGTAGCTATTTTGGTTGAATAATAAAATAAAAACTGCAATATCTACCTTCTAAATGAAAGTACAGATAAAACTAAATAAGAAATACTGTATAAATAAGTAGTCTGGATTCTATGTTTAACAAAAGTTTTAATACTAATTATATTACGAGAAATCTGGTAAGAACTAATAAGATTAGAAACTTTTAGTTACCATTTGGACAGGAAGTACGACTGCATAGATTGCCTGTTTGAACAAAAAAAGACGCTCTTAAATAAATCTTGAAATACATCATTTACGTCGCATGAATGAATGTGAAAGCGGATGTTAAAGAAATGAAATGTATTGAATGATATTTTATGATTATTAACACTTTAATAGTCAGTGTCAGTGCCAGTGCCCGATTAAAGAGGGGTCTAAGGGGGAGTACAACCCCAAAAAACAGTTTCCCCTCGTTCGAAGCTGAGTCGAGCCAGAAAACCCACTTTATCTTCCTTTTTCCCTTGTCCTACTTGTATTTCTCATCCAGCCATCGCATTTCTGGCAGTTTCAAGCTCGTGACCCCGTCGCGGGCTACTCTCGCGCATTGTTTCATGTTCGTTAAATATGCCTGCGTCGAAACTGTTTCGACCGCCGCCGCGCCGCCGCGCCGCCGCGCCGCCGCGCCGCGGGATTTTTAGGTTCCACGCTTGTACGCTTCGGAGAACTCGCTGTTTGGCAAGTTTTAGCCGTTGTAAAAGCACAGATTGTGTAGCGTGTAGCGTACGGAGAAGCTTGTACGAGTAAAGAGAAACTTCTTCTGTTAACAACTATATTTTTCTTTATTTAGAGTCCGGTAGAATTCATGGTACTATCTTTAATCCTTTGCAAATAAAATACTTTAGCTTGTTTGGATAAAAATCACACTATCACGCTACAACATCATCAGATTACATAAAAAGGTCAATAATTTTGGGTGTTTCAAAGTACTTTATGCTAAATTAAGTTTTTTTCTTTTTTAATAAAATAATACCTATTTTTAATCAGGAGTTCATTTCTCATCAGATGTCGTTAATTTTTTTACATTTACCGTCTGCACGCGAGTAACGAAGATCTCGCGTGAGATATTACATCGGTCAATTCGAAATCAGTCTGTCGAACGAAATTTAAGCGGCAGCAAAGTCGATACCTTATCAGAAAAGAGGACTCCTCTGGGAGCGACGTCAATAAGAAACCGCCAACTGCGGTTCCCTGCTGCTAATTATCGGATCCGAAAGCTGGGATATTAGCTCTATCGGATACACGTGACACTGGCAGGATACGGTTGCTTCGAAATTGTTCATACTTTGATAAAAAATTAGGAGGAAAAGATGGGGATATATGTATAAAAGAAAGAAGTAAAAGATAGCCATTAATAATACTCAACTTGTCTTAAATTACGATAAAAACAGGAATTAAAACATCGGTGTCTTTTTTTTTCATGGATAAGCTCTAACCAGTCCAGCCAGTAATTCAATATTATAGGGGGAAGGGGTTTAAAATTGAAGCTTCCTCTTCGAGTATAATTCCATGAGGCCACGAAGATGGTACAAGTGCAATATTAAAGCAATTTACAGAATACGAGAGGAACGTTTACTTCAGTTGCATAGAAGCTGTAAGAAGCAGCAACTGCAATGCGACCGACTCGAATATTTCGGCATTTCCATGTATATTTAATTCATGGGGTACACCGTAAAAGGTTTCACTGGCTAGCGAACGAAATTCACGAAACTCGATGTACACTAGAAATTTCGTATCTTAGTATGTAAAATGTACGTTGTAAATGATATAAATTTTATAGTGATTGTAAAGGATTCACTCGATCACCCAGGAGATTTAATTCATATTGATTATAATAGTACCTATAAGTCAACCATTCAATGAAAATGCTATGATTGAGAATGATTTCGTCGAGATGACGTCGATTGTCATGATATTAAATAGTAGGTAAATAGCGTTGAAATTAAATTAATAGGTATGTTGAAAAAATAATCCTAATCCAATATAATAAAATGTAACCTAATCTAATATACTTACCGGAATAAAACAGAAGTCCTTTAGGCTGTCTAGTTTTAAATTGCAAACTGATAGATTCCTGGGTGCTCAGAACAGGTTCACCTTTGCTCAAGTCTATCGTCAAGTATTCTGTTCCTTTGAAAGATGCTTCAGAAGGAGCTTTATCTGCAACAAAATAAATTCGGAAGTTCAGAAGAAGCTCCTGCGTGAAAGGTTATAAATTTAAAAGAAATGATAAACGTACGTGACTAAACTGTAGCTGGAAACATTACAAAATGGTTTGTAAAAAATGTATAACATATGCAAAAGTATGTAAACATACGTGACCAAGGGATGATTTAAATATTCCATTTATGCATGTGCACAAATATATATTTTCACGGATAAAACGAAGAAAAAGGGAAATGTTATACATATAAAAATTTATGTGTAAATATGTACACCCGCGACGAAATCAGGCTTCCTCAAAGAAAATACTCATCATCACATGTATAAATTAATTCGGTACCTTTTCTTTTTTTTCAATTAAAGATTTATTTTCTAAAATTCATGGTAATTTCAATTGTTAAAGTAATTTTTCTTGTTTTATACTTTGAAAGAATTCAAATTAAAAATAGTAATTAAAAAGGCGTTAAAGAATAGTACCGAAGGCACTGAATTAATTTGTAGATACATGTAATGGATAGGTATCGTTTAAATAAAGTTTTTTGTGTCCGAAGAATTAGTATTTTATACTTAACCGTGTTCTACAAATTGTGTCGGATTCAATTACATAATTCGTAGTTTTTTAATGATCAGAAACTCAAATAGAAACTTCCTTTATGGGAGAGACTGAAACGAGATTAATTGTTGAAGATGTAACTTCTAAAATAAGAATTCTCCAATTTAGTTTGTACAACTGGTTTACTTCTTCATGATGACAGAAACTGAGATATTTAAAAATTCAATAGTCGTTCTTCCTTTTCAATTTTAGGACAAAGTTATTCGAGGTTCTTTTAAAAATAGATATCTATTACAAAGTTTCAAAAAAGCTTTTGCGTTGTTTAAAATTACGTTGTTTTTTCAACACTTTTCAAAAAAGTAGAGTTTCTTTTAACTGCTTCAGGACACTTTTCTAATTAATGTTACAAGAAAATAAATAAAATCGAACTGATAATATTAAAAATGTGGTATAGTAAAAGTTTTTCAATAATCAAGTATTGCGGTGCAATTTTTTTGTTGTTAATTTAAACTTTTAATACATTTTACAAATAAATTGTTACAAGTGTGTGTGTGGGTGTGTGTGTGTGTGAATTAAAAAATTTATATTTAAAAAATAGTAAGCATGCAATTTTTCTCATTAAAAATAAATTTTTATATACCTTTCGGTACTGAATCAAATAATTTAATATAAAAATTCGAGAACACAGTTTCCGTAGAATCAACCTTAGCGGCAGGGTTAATTCAGCCTGGAAACGTCTGATTTGCTCTGGTCACAGAAGTGCAGCAGACCAAGACCTTTCATTATTTCCTATCTTTCCATTGTTATCATACGACCAAACAAAAGCACAGCGATCTAAGATCAAGCAAAAAGTCCGTAAGACGGAACGGAATGGTTCTGGCGTTTCGCCAAATCGCGTCTTCGTGGATTTGTATGCACCGAATCGTCGATTGAAATGTTCATTACCATCACAAATCATTCGCTGATCCGCAGAGAAAGGAACTATCTTCCTAAGAACGTTTCTCCTAACGATTCTGGGGATTTTCAAATCACTTATGATTCGATGCTTCTAGCGAAGACTTTTCATATTACTTCTGATAAAATGAAAAGAAAGTTGAATCGCGGTATGATAAAAGTACAAGTGAACCTGTTCTCAAGTGGAGAACGGTAGAAATAATGGGGACAAGTATATACTAGCTGTTACGTTTGGGTTGCCCTTAAAACTTTCAAGTTATATTCGCACCTTGATGCCGTAAAATAAAGTTTAAGAAGAATATACAGCGACGCGGTGTTATCTGAAATTTAAGTCTAGTAAGAAACATAAGTTTCTTTTTATAGAAAATTTCGGGATATCACTCGTGTAAGAAAGCATTAAGGACGAAACAAATGTTATTTTATATTTTGGTCGTTTTGAAATTTCCATTTCGTGCCTCGATTTCCCATTTCAAAATAGAAATGCTTCGCTTAGGATGACTATAGTTGCACGCAGTAGCAAAAGGGTTAAATCACGCGATCCGTAAAATTGTCACAACTATTCTCAGAACAATAGAGTACGTAGTAGTTTGTCCTTAAAGGATTAAACGCAGCATTCATTGGAGCAACGATATTGGCCAAGACACGGATGCGGTTTAAGAGAAAGTTTTCAACATACGACGCGACGCGACGCGACGCGACGCGACGCGACGGGAGGGATATGTAGGTATACGAAAAGGTGCGGCAACTGGGACGAAAATGGGCGAGCTAGAGAGTTGGGCCGACGTTAAAGCTCGTCGGCTTTAGCTAATTGTGAAACACACCCCCAAAGCACTGCAATCGTTTGAATTATGAAGAAAGTTCGACCCTCGTTTCGCCCAGCATTTCTTTAGCCGCAGAATTCGATTTATGAGATACCGGCTAACCCGTTTCGCGTGAAACTAACCTCTCGATCATTCGAGATTTCTAATTGCGATAGAAATCTGGGAACTCATTCGGGTTCAGATTCATCATTTTTTTTTATCTTTACTGGAATCAAGTTGTAATATTAGTAAAATTAGATGTAATTCTTTTCAAAATTGCCATGCTCGGTACTGTACACTGTGTCTCCAGTAATTAAAAATTACTTTTTTTTCTTGTTTTTTCCAAGAGAAAAAATGAACGGGTAGTTAAATATTGATACGGTTAGAACGTCGAGTCGACAACATATTATACGGTTAGAGGACTCTGTCGGAAGTTGACGGTTTCCTCGAAAAGTTCGGATATTAATTAAAGCAGAGAGGTGGCGCGGTGAAGTGGGAGTCCAGGATATTCAATACGTGGGGAAGCAGCTTAATTACGGCGGGACGAGGCGCGTTAATTACACGATACTTACGTTCGCCGCTGGAAATTGCTATCAAATCGAACGGTCGATTTGGGAAGGTGCGAGATGCCGCGGCAAATGACCCCCAATGGAGCAAAACCGAGGTAAACGACACACCAATCTGCCGGATATCGTGTAATTATCGCGACTCACAAATACACATGTTCGCCAGAAGGTGCACCGTTTTCTGATAATTACGTTACGCTAATTGGCAGTCGCATTGTTTTTCGTTCATATCAGTTAATTTAAAATTCAGACACGAAGGACATTTGAATAAAATGTTTATACCGTAATTTTTCTCACATTCTAAGCTATAAATTGATATGCAGCTATCCAATAGACACAGCTGCGACATATTTCACAGTAGTGGCCATTATCCATCGCAAGGACAAGTCACGTGTTATCAGAGAAATCCGTATGGACTATCTAAGGGCACGGAGTCCTTTATGCAGAAGGATACACACCACTACTAATCCATATTAATCGTTTGCCATTCATTAGAAAGTCAGCGACGGGATGGCCCTCATCTGGAAGGGTGCTCGCGTTAGGTAACTCCGCACCTGGTGTACTCTCACGATCAATCGCACCTTCTCTCCTCCACCATTTTGCCGTAAATCTCTCGGCTAAACTGCCTCTGGTGTAGCCGTGAAAGACAATGACCAAGTAAGCTCGAACAGCGACGAAATGGCACGTATACGTTCGCGAAAGCAATTAACAAAATACGTCCGAATATTTCACGCTGGATCTCTTGATGATTCCAAACGTTCGCTCGGTTATGAATATTTATTCAACGGGAGCGGTGAATTTTCAGGACTTTGCTTGCTATACCTCGACTAGTTTGAAAAGGATCTCTGGGATAGAGAACCATGGACTAATCACTTTTTCGACGATTCTGCTGGCTATTGTTTAATTTGCAAATTCTGTTAAATGTTGCATAAAGATTAAATTTGCAACAAGTAAATAATTTAATACTGGAGAAAAATCTTCTGTTCGTTTGAATTATGAAAAATTTAAGGAGAGCTAATTAACAATTTCACCGTTTTAATTGATAATTTCAAAACACAAATCTGTATGTTGTATAAAGAAATGTACATAAGTACTTACACATATGTACTCTGAATTTCACATTTTATTCCAACTCGATATCTCGATCCGTTCCTGAGATACATATAAGGGGACAAAGTTACTCAATGGCAGTCGAAATTCCAGGAAACGGCCTGACCCAGATTTTTTTCCCAGGAAATACGCACATCGCGCGTAGTAGTAAAAAAAAAAAAAAAGGGGTTGACTCAGCCAGCATTCGCCGCTGACCGGCGCGCAAGCGGTGAGCTTGCGGTAGGTCAATGAGATTGTGGAAGTGAAAGATTCGAACGTGCGAGTGAGAGATCCGAGTGAGTAAAAGGTTCGAGTGACACAGAGATAGCGAAATATTTAAAACCTTGCCCTAATTCAAAGGACGGTATCTCGACAAGGAAAAGTCGTAGAGGCGTGAAATAAAAGCTATTCTAAACGATGGCCTTCCTGGATTTAATTATGGTGGAAAGGAAGATTTATTATCATTTTCTTCCCAAATAATGTGTACTATTTTTCAACGAACCATTCTAGCAGTCAGAGTCTTAAATAGTTGAACTGTTCAAGTAGCCATAAGAAATAAACAAAATTCCATAGAAAATGGCCTCTCGACAACGAAGAGATTCTTTTATTACACGAAATAACGAGCTGGTGGAGTATCGTGCAAATAACAAGTCACGGGCAGATTTTAATAAATTCCGACGGCTGTGCGAGACGATAAAAGTGGCATTAACGGTGTCGTTCGATCTCATCTCCGACGTCCTCGTTGTCCTCGTCCTCGTCCATGCGGGATTAGCCGAGTAATCTCTCCAAGAGCTTCGAGGACGGGAGTAACGAGATCCCGGGGGAAACGAAGACCTTTTCTCATCTTGGATGAGAAGCCGTGCTTCTCGCCACGTTTCTGTTCCCTTCGCATCTTTTTTTTTTTTTCTTTTTTTTTCTCTTCTTCCTAGAGCGCGTGCAAAAAACTTTCCGCCCGGAATAAACTTGTCCTCTTTTAACTACATACAAGCTGAAATGACGAGCAGCTCTAGAGGAAGAGGCATTCCTTGACGGATT